AATTATAAAAAAAAAAAAAAAAAAAAAAAAATCAATGGGAAAAATATCCTTGGGTAAGGATAAAAAAAAATGACAGCCTTCCCCTCAATAATACAAGGTAGACATAATATTTATTTTCCAAATCAGAAAAGTCAGGGATTTTGTTCTTTGAAAAGTAAAAAACAGAGCACCTCCAAAAGTTAATACCACTTAACAATAATGGAACTTGTGTAAATTAGATTGCTGTGAGGATCAAATGAGGTAACACACATGAAAATAAATTATACCATGCTTCAGACATTCTAACCTAACAATGTCAAACTTTACTTTTGGCCATGTACAATCCCAAAGCAGTTTCCTCAATTACATGGAATACTGAAGTTGTGTGTACAGTACAGTACAGTAGCCCCCTGATCCATGGATACTGCAGTCTGAAAGTATTATAATTCCAGAAATAAACAATTCTTAAGTTTTGTGTGCTACTCTAAGTAGCTTGATGAAATCTCAAATCATCCCACTGGGATGTGAATCATCCCTTTGTCCAGCAAATCCAAGTCCAAAACTGGATGCCTAAAACAACTTAGTACTGAACCCTATATATTTTTTCTACATATACATACCTATCATAAAGTTTAGTATATAAATTAGGCAAAGTAAGAAATGAACAATAACCAATAATAATGTAGAACAATCATAACAATATACTGTGCTAAAAGTTATAGGAATGTCTGCGGGGTTCATTATGAAGTAAAATAAGGGTTACTTAAACAAAAGCACTGCAATACTGAGAGTCAATCTGATAACCAGCCAAGACCCACTAAGTGACTAACGGGCAGGTAGGATATATAGCATGGATAAGCTGGACGGATTCACATCTAAGGTGGGACAGTGTAAGATTTCATCATGCTACTCAGAACAGTGTGCAATTTAATGCTTATGAATTTATTTCTGGAATTTTCCATTTAATGTTTTTGGACCACACCTGACCACAGGTAACTAAAACTGAAAAGGAAAACCTCGGATAAGAGGGAACTACTGTACATGCTCCCTGCCCAGTAGTCACTTAATAGCTGGCTCAGATGGATAGTTGTGGTATCTCAGTGCTTGCGTTCAAGTAACCCTTATTTAATGACCCCAAAACACAAAAGGAGTGATGTTGGCAATTCAGCTATACCAAAGAGAAGCTGTAAAGTGCTTCTAATAAGTGAAAAGGTGAGTACTATATAGTACAATAAGATATTTTGAGAGAGACCACATTCACATAACTTTTATTATAGTATATTACTATAATTGTTCTATTTCATTACTGCTTATGGTTACTCTCTTACTGTGCTTAATTTAGAAATTAAACTTTATCATAGGTATGTACATATAGAAAAAACAGTATGCATAGGTCCAGTACTATCCTCAGTTTCAGGCATTCACTGGGGGTCTTGGAATGTATCCCATGCAGATAAGAGGTGACTACTATAAAGCAATTCAGTAAATGAAACACTGGTTTATTTTAACAACTCTATTGACAAAGAATTACCACCTAATTTATCAGGTTATTGACAAAGAATTACCACCTAATTTATCAGGTATTTGCTCAAAATGATATACAATTATACTGTATTTATTCTGAATGATTAAAAAAAAATCCAAAAGATAACTTCTTATACAATTCAAAATCACTAAAGTCATCAAAATTTGACATTTCAGTATGGCATAAAAACTTCCGTAGAAAGAGCCTTGGATATTGCAATCCTAATTGCTAATATCCAGCTATGTATCCTGTGATAAGTCATTTAAAAAGTATATATCTCAGTTTGTTCACTTATATGGTATGGAAACTGAACTAGTTGATCGTTAAAAGTCCTTTCTAGGACTACAATTATGCTTCTATTGTGATACATTTTAATACATAAATATGCTACTACGTTAAAGGTATAAAAATTGTCTTACTGTGCCTGGTCTGTTGTAAAGTAGTTTATGTAGATTTCTAAGTTCATCTGTTTTCTTCTTACTCAGAAAGAAATGTATCCTTTCAATTTCACACAGTTTCTGCCCCTTTCCTAGAAAAAAATAAACCATAATTAAAGTTAAATATCAATATGGGTTAATATACTTGCAAATTTAATGAAAATTACTTTTATTAAATTACTTAGCATAATTTATATAACTTTTGCTTTAATACTGCAAACTAAATAATACCAATAATATACTACTACTGAGTAAACACTAAAAACCAAGCACTGCTAATCATCATTTTTGTATATTTAGGCATTTTACCATAAAATGAAAGAACACAAAATAAACTTACCTTGTGCTATTGTAAATGGCTCTCTTTGTAAAGAAGAGACTTGCATTGTCAACCTTTCTACTTTTTTCTTTTCCCTCTTGCCTTCCACGATGAGACTCTTTTCTAAAAATTAATTTAATACTTCTTAAATAACAAAAAGCTTAAAAGATATGTTAACTTTATTGTATAAATATACAGAAAATAATCACAGCAACTTAATACCATACTCTTCTCCTTAGCAGGATTTTGAGAAGAAAATAACATAACAGAGATGAAAATACTTGATCAGTTAATAGCAACACCAAATTTGTTTTACAGTAACATTCTACTTACCTGGCAACCTCATAGGGGATCCAACTTAAAAAAAAATTAGAAACAAAAAAATTTTTTTTTAAAGACTGTCGCCAATACCACTTAGTGGACACAGCCACAATGCTGGTGTTTTTTTATTTTTTAAATCCTCACCCAAGGATACTTTTTCCATTGCTTTTCAGAGAGTAGAAGGGAGGGAGAGAGAGAGAGAAACATCAATGTGAGACACATCAACTGGTTGCCTCCAGTATGCACCCCAACTGGGGCAGGGGATTGAGCCTGCAACCAAGGTACGTGCCCTTGGCTGGAATCAAACCCAGGACCCTGCAGTCCTCAGGCTGATGCTCTAACCACTGAGCCAAAATGGCTAGAGTGAAAGCAAATAAATTTTTATCCAACTACAATTATTGCTATGAAAGTCCAGTCACTTTGTGAAAAATCACCAAGGTCCTCATTTAGCCTTTTCTTTAATTAGACAGAATTCTGTTAATCGAAATTCAGTTTACTGTACCTCAGAAAACAGTTAGTTTAGAATAAGATTATAAGAACTTCAAAAGATACACAGAGAAAAGCAACAATTTAGTAGGCTGGCAAAAAAGAAAACAAAGACCCTTAAGTAAGGCAAAGCAGCCTGGAGCTACTATGGATAGGGTAAAATTCTAAAGGTTACATTTACTGCAATCAACTGGGAGGGCATTACTTTGTAGTTTAATAAATGATGTTCAGCCCGGCTGGGCATGGCTCAGCAGTTGAGCGTCGACCTAGGATCCAGGCCATTGGGGTTCAATTCCCGGTCAGGGAACATGCCCGGGTTGCAGGCTCGGTCCCCAGTTGGGGGCATGCAGGAGGCAGCCGATCAGCGACTCTCTCATCATCGATGTTTCTATCTCTCTATCCCTCTCCTTTCCTCTCTCTGAAATCAACAGATATATTTAGAAAATAAAATAAAATAAATGATGTTCATAATTATGATCATAAATCATTCCAAAAATGTTAAATTCTATTTAGTCCAGACTGCTTTTTTTTTTTAAAGCTTGACAATACAGAACATATGCTTTAAAATTTAAAACACTAAGCCTGCTTTTCTAAAACTACTTACCTACTGACAGAGATAAAGTCAGATGAATAAAAGGACCCCATACTATATTGTTGGAGAGCCTTCCAATTATTTGACTGAATGATTGTTTTGTGCAAAGCTGCATTAGTTAAGGGAGGGCTGAGTAGATGATTAAGACATTGACCTCTTTTAGAAGATCACGTTTACCTGGGGGTGGGGGAGTTATGAGACACAAATATCATACTCCAAAGTAGATGATAACAGAATGCTTTTAATAAAGATGCAGAGTTCTGAAAGTTGAGGAAAGAGTAATTATCTTTGGATTAGGGATCCAATAAGGATCAAAACACTGGTGCTGGCTTTGAAGGATAGGTAAGATTTGGATATAAGCATTTGCACAGAAAGGATTAGGAGAAAGGGATTCCAGCAGGCAAATTCTGGCAATGGTGTATAGAAGAGAAAGCACTCAAAGAGCAACCCATTATCACTCCACTTCCTTGAGTTAGATTACCATCTATAAGCTAATAATTTTTCTGGTATATTTCCAGTACAGTTTTTTCCCCCGAGTTTCAACTAAGGGGCTTCCACTGGACAGCTCCACTTCATGTCCTAGATGCATCTAACTGAATGCATCCAAAACAGAAGTCATAATCATCTCCAAACCCATTCAACTTCATGAATTCTATTTTTCAGAAAAGGGTAATATTATCCACCCAGCTGCCAAAGACAGAAATCCAGGAGTCATCTTTACTTGGCATTCCCCCAACCCCTGCCAAGAAAACCACTGCCAAGTTAAGTCAATTCTATCCCTTATTTGACAGACTTTACTGCCTTGCTTCTTTTATGCCTCAGTAGTAGACTTAAATTTTCAGAGCTAAGTAGGATAAAAGCGTTTGGAATTTTAGTTGTTTCATTAACACCTAAAATGAGGGGAAAATAATAAATTATCTCTGTGGCATCCAAACTCTACCTTTTAAAAAGACTAAAATAAACAAAAAAAAACTGGAGGAAAAAATGATAAAGTCTTGGAGTAGTAGATAGTACAGCCAATTTTGTTATCGTACTATGAATAATTTTTAAAATAACATTTTTTTCCTAAGCATTTTTGTACTTAAATGTGAAAATGCTCCCTTCTTAGAGCACCTACCACTTTAAACAAACAAAAAGGGAGACCATTCGGTGTAATCTCAACCCAGAGTGCATTTATAAAAGGCTGACCAACTGACTGACTGATTTTGGCTTAAAAGAAATTAACAATTAAACCTGCTTTAAAACTTCAGGTCTTCCCAAATGTGGCTGAGTTGTAGCATATACTAAGTAAACCTAGATTGGGCTAATATCAGAGAATGTTAAGATCTCTAATATGGATTTTTAAACTTAGGATGCTGGAACACTTCCAAGAGGCACTGCCTCGCCTACTTTGGGTAAACTGATGCAGAATTCCTTAACTTCCTAAGGTTCTTCTCTTTCAAGCCTCCAGCCAAATGGTTAACAATGCTCTCCCTCAACACCAAAACCCAGCTCCTGTTTAAGTTTCTTTCACAGCTCACTGCTTTCGTATTTACTTTCTCAAGCAGCAGTAGCTTTCACCGGTGTTTCCCGGTGAAAGTAAAACCCCCTGGGCTTTTGAAAAGGACCTCTGCTTTTAGTTCAGAAAATAAATTAAAACATCTCCAGGACTAACATGAGTAACTCAGTGTGTCATTTCATGAAAGGCCTTAGAATAACCTCAGAAGGCCCAGGATGAGCATTTAAATGATCAAATGATTAAAATAAAACTTAGCCTTATTAACTTCCAAGACTGAGTCTTAAAAGCAGATCTGAAACTTCCTGTCCAACAATGAAATGTTATGAAAGCACGCCGATGGCGAGAAGTCAACTGCGCTCCAAAATACCGAACGCTAACAAGTAGATCCTAAAAAAAACCCCTGGAATTCACAAAGTTAATTCTCTGCTACTTACTGCTCCACACAAAAACAGATACATTTTGCACTCTCGCTGAAAACCAGTCCGATTTAGTGCCTCTAGGCGCAAAAAGAACACGAAAGCTGCCTTCCCTAGAACCCATCCCTGAGGGACAGGCTTCCCACCTTTTTCTTCCTCCTCGTCGTCGTCTTCCTCCTCGTCCTCGTCCTCCTCCTCCTCACTCTCCTCCCTCGGGCCGGGCATCTCGGGCTCCTTCTCGGACGCGGGATGGTCGGGGGTTCCCTCTCCCTCCGCAGCAGGGCCGGAGGCGGACATGCTGTCGACCTGCGGGCGGGAGGGCGCCGGACGCCTCAGTCTCCTCGCCCCCGGCGGGAAGGACCGGGCGGCCCCCAGCAACTCCCGACCCTCCACGGCCGACCTCAAACTTG